TGTGATCAAACCTTGCAACAGCGCTGAATCAGAAAACAGGTCCTCTCCACTCCTTCCTGTGACTAGCAAAGTACAGCAGAAGGGCAGCAGTATTTGTTTTCAAACATTGCACAAAGGCATTTAGCTTCTATGTAAACACAAACAGAAGTTTCAACTACAGGAGTTTTATTATAAGTCTCCAAAAGGCAGTGCAATTTCATGTAACAGCTGATGTTTTCAGTATATATTTTCTATTAAAAAATAAAAGCCTCAAAACAAACAAACAACAAAAAACTGTCAGGCAGTGCTTCGTGCTTGAATGGAGGAAAGCAAACTGCAATGTTAGCAAACATGGCTGAACAGAAGGAATGTTCAAAGGGCTGTTGAGAAAAAACTTGCATCCACATTTCTTGCATTGCTGTGATGTTATGGCAAAGGATTTTGGTATGCAATTGGACATAAGCATACCTAGCAAAACTGGACACTATGAATGCAGCAATAAACTATTCAAAGAGCCACGTGGGCAGACTCTTCTGGGATTTTTCATGGCTTATCAGACTCAAACATTGATATATTACAGGGAGAAGCAGCAGCGTTCCTTCATAAGTTTGGAAAAACACCTACAACTCAGCAGCTTTGAAGCCGCTTTTATTTCACTTGACTTTTGCATTTTAAGCAAAAACAAATGTGTTCCAAGAAATACACTACAGCCTAATGACCAGCTAAAAGGAGTTCTTGACATCTCATCTCAGCATGAAGTTCCCAAGCACGCTAAGCTGCTTTGAGGATCTAACCCAGGATGTATTTTAAACATGTTTATATCACTGCATGCATGCTATGCAGGAAGCTTTCATTAGTAGTTGAAAGAAATCAACTTAATCATTAAAACCAGAACTTAGTCAGAATAGTTCCACTGCAGCTCCTGAGGCTGCTGCTGATGGTAAATGTAAAATACTAGCTGCAACAGCTTCAGAGGGCCCTCTGTGGCACCTGAGGAGAGCACTCCCAGACCACTCTTGCCCCGGGGAAACACACATTAAGACAGATAAATAACTCTGAAACACAAAGTCAATTCCAGGCGAATGTCCAAAGTGTATCAGACATCATTAAGCATACGGACCACCTTTACCAGGCTGGAAAACACACTCTTCCGTGCTCAGATCTCAGCCTAACCACAATCTTTCCTCTGAGGCCCTCACGAAGTCAGCCTCCCCAGGAAACATCTTCTGAATGTGGCTAGGGAAGGCCAACAGCTCACTCTTTGACTTTGCCCCATCTTTGAACACTTCTTCACAAGTCAGAAAAGCTGCAGAGGGTAAGGTGGCAGGAATCAGCTGCAGCAGCACATCTGAAACATGCTTGTATTTCTAAGACATCTGCTTCCCAGCATCACTCTACTGGGAAAGGTTTCACTGAGGTCTTGGGTCTCCTGGAGGAGGTGGGAATTGTAAGTGAACAAAACAAAGCAGCAGCATTTTAAAAAAGAAGATGGCATGTGTTTTATATACATCTGCCTTCATGGTTTCTTCAGCCCTTTACTCAGAAAGATTGGTGGCATCTCCTCTACAGACACTAGCACGATGAAAACAAGAACTGCTGTAGAAATCGAGTTTCAACACCATAGAAAAACAAATGGTTATGCAAATTAGCATGAAAAAAGGAAACAAAGTACTGTCATGTTCCCTGTGAACACAAGTGACAATGCATTCTCCGAGGCCCCTAAAATAACAAAATTAACCCATCCATGGATCTCCAACAAGTGGCCAACACTTCTCCTCCTTAAAGGTTGTGTTCCTAGTCTGTATTCAGAGGAGACTCATTGAAGGTTATCTAGGTTCAATTTTGTGAATAAAACCTTTGGGAAGTGAGTTTTGTGTCTGGTTATTTTCTTCCTTCAAAATATATTGAAAATTACTTTCCTGCATGGACTGGGTAGGGTGTTAATAAGCTTATTTAATTAACACTATTAATGTTTGGAAATGGATTAAACATTACCGAAAATTAAAACCTACACATGTTAAAGATAAATGAAGTTCCATTTTGCTTAGCCTTCACAAATAGGATGAGAAAATGACTGTTTTTAAAGAGAAAAGGAATAGCATGACAGTTAATTTCACATTGGAATTTAAAGAATGACCACTCCACATGGAAGTGGAATAATTTCTTTTCACGGCTCTCCTTGCTTCAGGAGTCTTTCTGTTTATAATCCTATGACCAGCTACAAAGAAATAGTCATTGACCAGACTGGAGAAAGTGTTATTCTTACAAGACCTTTAGACCAGGCGCAGCCTATGAAGCAGGAGCACACAAACCCAATACAAAACCTTGTTTTTTCCTAAGTATAACCAGAACAGTTCATGTGCACAATAAGATGAAAGCAAGCAGTGACTGCAGAGCCTAATCACTGTATATAAAGGCCATCTATCAAGCATGTAACATAGTGCCAAATCACGTGTTTAGATGTGAGTGAATATAAGACCCCATTAGCAACATCAGTAGCTCTAATTTAGATAGGGCCTAAATAGGACAGTCTAGGCAGAACATTTTATTACTAAGACGTGCATGTTAGGATCTTTTAAAAGAATACATCTTGTGGTAGATGTAACAATGGCTATCAGAAAGAATAAAAAAAAAAAACAAAGAAAGTCCTCAAAAAGTCTTGGAAACAAATATATTGGAACATAGTCATACAGAGCTTTAATTACCCATAGTCTTCTGGGAACAACTCAGAAGCTTTGTGTGTGCATACATACGAGGTATATTTGCTTTGTCTTTAGAAAGGAACAACTCTGAAGAGATACAACACTTTCCCCAACAGGACACATGCTCATTAGCTACTTTATAATAACACTGTCAGAGAAAATGGAACAAAATTCTTCAGAAGATAGAGCACATGGAATAGAATCACACAAATGGATTTAAAGCAAGTATTGAAGAGTAATGGGTTTTAAATCCCTACCACTGTGCTAAAATGCAACTTACAAAAAGTCTAATGCTTAGTGTCATGTAAGGCAGCCTTGGGTGAAGCTGTTACTTAAGGTGACTGTGTAAATATTAGTTATCTGCACGACCCGATTCACCCTATCCCCTTCTCGACTATTCCCCTCAGAAGAGAGGATGTTCAGCCAGAACAGTCAGCAAGTTTTAATGGGAATAAATAGCTGTATTATCACATTTTATTTCTAAAAATGTCATAGGCTGATGCCTCTTTTGTAAGCTATGTTCCCATTCATGCACATACATCCTTAGGAAGTTATTTCCTTTTCATTTCCTATCTGTTCATAAACAATATCTTGTTTTCCCAGCAACTTTTAGTAACCTTAGCCTTTGGAACCAAATACCTTGCTTCACTGCCCTTTTTTTTTTTTTTTTTTTGGCAGCAGTTGAAGTATGAGCAGGCTTTATTTGGGGTATCACTGGGTATTTCATCGGATATTTTGTCTTCTCATTTGCACAAAGATAGAAAACCAGTAATACCTTACAACCCGCATTAAAAATTGTTGGGAGACAGGTTTCTGTCCACTCCCAGTTCTGGGGTAGCAAAAATGAAAATATTGCATGTGGAGCTTACGCAGTCACTTCCCTGGCAACACTTTGATCTTGCCTCCTGAACCTACAGACCACTGACATTTCCTTCTAAATGTAATCCTCATGGGGACCACCAATTGATTTCCTTCTTCCTTGGCTTCCTCCATAGCTTCCACCACGCAGCATGGATGCTCTCCATAACAGGCGTAGCAAGTCAGCCTAATAGCTGCCTTCTAACCGGTATTTCTGCTCTGTGGCTTGCTAAGTAGCCACTGGGTTAAGGGAGGCTCTTCCTTTTAAAAAAAATTGTTTGCAGGGAGATTCAGATCAAAAGAATTCATCTTTAAGAAGTACAGACACACTCACAACTAAGCAATAGTTAAGTTTTGGTTATTCTAAATTCACAATTTTTTCTTTCAAGGATTTAGGAACTGCTAGCTTAAGACCTGTTGTCACCACAGTAAGGAAATTCAGCTTCCCCAACCTGTAATTCAACTGTTCCCATGTGTGCGTGGCTATCAGACTCAGGAGAAACAGTGTACATGAAAATCTATGTCTTCATAAACCACAAACCCGTGCTGGCCGTGCCCATATCCTTCCCCTCCTGCCTAAGTACAAGAGGGGGTAAGTCAACACCCAAAATCCAAGGCAAGACTTCCCCCAGCCGATGTCTTTGGTATTGCTAATTTATCTTGTCAGTACAGGAACTACCAGTACCCAACACATCTCTAAACAACGCTATCTAACAATAGCTGGTAGCTGTGTTTCAACACTACCTATTTGCACAGGAACGAAATCCTCTGAGGGGAGGCAGAGGGCATAATTTAAGTCACAGTGCCATCAACCATACCCGAGGTCACACTAGGAGGGGCTAACTCCAGTTTCCACAGGACAAGAGTTGTTCCCCTCCTCACCAACCCCTTTCCCTAACTAAAGCTGTGGTAGGAGAAAAAGCAGTGAACACACCACAAGCCAGCAACAAGCTTTCTCTTTGCACAGAGTGTTTGCTTTGAGTCTTTTTGCTGTACCCTGTAATGCTCTGGAGACGACTGCCCTGGATGAGCCAGTGTGGCAGGGTGAAAAAAAACACTGGGGCTAAACTTGCTCAGCTGCAATACCATAACCAGGTGCCACATGCAGGACATGAAAATACTCAAGATCTTTGCTATAAAGTATGAAAAGCCACAGAGACAGGACTGCCCCTAGATCACAGGACTGAACCAACGTTCACTCACAGCCAAATTGCAGGACAGCAAACAGTTTCAAGGAACGAGGATCGAAGTTTTCAGTCACTTTTTACTTTTGTAGTAAAGGCATTTTTTCTGCTGTCCCTTGTAAATTTGCATCACAAGTACTACATTCCATTTGATAACAGCTTTTCGCCATTCCCAAACAGTTACAAAAATGCAACTGATGAAGAGATAGACTTCCATTATGATTAAGGATGCCTAACACATGAGACCCAAGTGGAAAAAACAGACCAAAAAGCCAAGTCACCTGTACACGCTAGCTTAAGTGTTTATTTAAAAAGTAAACTGTTGGGCACATTGAAATTTTAAAAAAAAGAAAAATACATAGAAGAACCTATTAGATTAAGCAGTTAAAAGGCAGCAATATTACAAGCTGTTTACATACCAACATATACATTAATTTAAAACAAGTGGCATGTCACCAACATGTAAAACAGACTTCAAAAGTTTAAAAAAAATCAAGTTGACTTTTGAAGAATATAAGTCTACCACATGTGTGAACATGGGTTTGGTCATTCAGTTTAAAATCCCCTTTTGCACTGAAATGTTCAGTCTTCAAATTATACAAGTGGATAACTAGCAGCTGTTGCTATTCCACAGTGGTTCTTCCTGTCTTTGGCCATGTAGATATATCCTTTGTCACCCCACTTCTCACCCCAGCTGAAATTAGAAGTGAAAGGTTTATTTTAATACTCTGAAAGACTTATTTATCATTCCCCCCCTGCCATCCCAAAGCATTTACACTGAAAACTGCTGCCTTCTACCTTCAGGTAAAATTGGAACAGCTGGAACAAAATTGCTTTCCAGCAAAAAAAAAAAAATACATATTGCAGAAGAAGCATCTCAAGCTCACAGGAACAGTGCAGCTGGATTACAAGTACTTGAAGCTCAGACACTGCTCCCTGACAACTAAGGGAGGACAAAGACTGCAAGCAGCATGAGGGCAGTGCCCCAGTAATGTGGAGAGCATGAGACAAACTCATGTGATGTGCCCTTCAGCACTAATATGTTGTTTTCCCTCCAGACTAGGAGGGTAACCCCATTTTTAAAGTTCAAATGTTACCATATTTCACACAAGTAAGCAGTCCCACTGCTTCTGAAATTCCATTACCTCTTATACTGCCACAACCTGTTTTTCCTCCTGCTCCCCATGCAACTCCAACATCTACTAGCTCTATGAGCTGCTCCAGTACCAAGCTCTCAAATTAACTGAACATGCAGAAGAATGAGATTACTGCTTGGGATTTGCTGTTAGACAGCCAGCAGCCTGAGCTGGCTTTTAACTTTTGCTATGCAATGCCCTGAGAACAACCTCCAGACTTTCTCTATGCAGATTTCAACTGTTGTTGCTTCCCTCTTATCCCAAGAGAGGAACTACTCTCCCTCCTCTGCCACCCCCAAAAAGCACCAGGCACAAAGGAAAAAAAAAATCTTACCTGTTCTTAACAATCCAGTATTTCTTCCCATCTACATCTTCACCCTCAAAACCATAACCTACAACCAGAACGCCATGGTCCAAGTCTTCACTGCTACAGTCTGGCTCATAGTAGATACCTGAGGGGGTATAAATTCACATGTCAATAAGCTCTCCTGCAGGAAACCCTTCTTCCCCACCAAAATCCTTGTTTCAAACTGTGTTGCACAGCTTCTTGATATAGTCAGAAAGGAGTGACAAGTGAAATGTATCACTGGGAGGAACTAAGGAACACATGCAAACACATGCAAGAGAAGTACCAAGTGTGGGAACCTGGACTAAAATTAAAAGGACTCTTGATTGTGTCCTACATCAGTTTTCTCTGTTCATTAAACTGAAGGGTAATGAATAATGAGTATTCAAAGAGTTCTCTGCATGCAAATTGCTAATACCCACCTGACTGATAAAACTGGAATGAAGAGTGGCCTGCATCAATAGCAACAGACACTGGACCCACAGCTGCTACTGCTTTCATGAGAGCTCTTTCATGTCCTTGGGGGATGTCAACAAAGCCAGTGTCATTAGCAGCATTGTACTCTGCCTTGTAGCGACAGTCTTCATCATCCTGAATAAAAAAAGTCAGATATTACATAGTTCTCTAGCTTACACACAGGTGAACACAGGAACTACCAGACATTCCAGAAATACACTGCCTTGAAAGCAAAAGACTGAAAAAGGATCTGGTTGTTCCAGCAGTGCTTTGAAAGGAGAAGACCAGAAGGAAAACAGGGAAGCTGCTTCTGAGTTTCTCAAAGATGCAGGAAAAAGTAAAATGCAAAGGGCAGTAGGGCCCATAAGGAAAGCTTTACTGGGATGCAGGGGACCATCACATCCTGGAACACTGCATTCTTTGGTAGGCAGGACAAATCTCTTTTCAGAGAGGATGAAGCCCAGAATGCATTAATAGGCAATGGAAGAGAGCCAACTATTCATTAATTACAAAGCAGTCCAGAAACTGCTCATTGAACAAGCACTTAAATCCACAATTTTAGTCTGTCAGTCTGGAAAACTGTACAGAATTACTTGGAAGTTACTCATTAATATTATATGGACTTACAGCATTCCTGTATTTTGGGCTGCTTCTCTGTCTTTTTTATACACACACAAACTGAACTGTGTGTACCACAGGCACTTACTTTAGAAGAGAGGCTTAATTTGTAAGTTTGGGCATTTGACATCAGAATAGAAATTTGTGTGTCCCTGCTCTACCCATGTGATAAATTAGAGCTCTCTAGAGCTCTTTAGTTGCATCTCCAACTAAAGGAACATCGACACATGCCTCAGATATTTACTTTTTGTACTCAGCAAGTTAAGCACTTCCTACAATCAACTGGAACCTCTGGAAGAGCCAAGTTTACAAAAAAAAAAAAGCAATTACAAGAATACAGGTAGACAGGAATTCAAATCCATGGTTTGTGTTATTCACAGTGAATGGCACTGCTACTGCACATTCAGTCAACAAAAAACTGCAAGGCAAGACACTCTCTAAGGAGTACTACTCCAAGTGTAGTGGCAAAGCCCAAAGCTTAGACTCACATGACACCATTTATTACTGCTCTTTTGTCCCCTCCTTATCCCTGTTGAGCTTTTGGTAGATCATTAGAGGTATTTTAAGTCTGCCCATTATGTGCATTTATGCACATGTAGTCCAGAAGTAGAGCATAAGGCATTGCCAACAACCACCTGAGAAGAGTCGCACCTGCTCAAGAATTACTTGGTCTACAGGCAGCAATCCCGTAATAGCTTTGCTATGAGAAGTAGAATCGCACCCCTAAGATTAAGCATTAGTTTTGGCAGGAGCCAGGTCTTGGTTTTGTGTGTCAACCAAGATAAAGCATGGCATCTGATAGGAGGGCAGCAATGAGTGGGAGGAATAAAAATATTTGCTCTAGTTTTACCAACTGGTCTGGTAAGATTGTGACCTCAAAGAACAATGTAGTATGTGATTCCGACTGAACCTGGGGCTAAAAGACATTCCAGTTTTCTTTGGGAAGATGCAAGATGAAAAGCAGATGCACTGAGGGCTACTTAAGCATTTTCCTTTCTAGGGACGAGTTTCCCAACACATACAGTTTGTTCATACAAAAGATGGAACACATGCAGAAAGTTCACTTACCTTTGCAGTGTATGGGTAGGATTCCTCTGAGTCAATTCCCCCGTTATCCTGCACATACTGGAAAGCCTGGTCCATGAGACCACCATTGCAACCTTGATTGCCTTCGGGGCGGGAGCAGTCCACCAGATTCTGTTCACTCAATGAAACAAGCTTGCCAGTTTTTCTGAAGTGCTGTCCTTCGAGAGCTCCTGTAGTGCTGAAAGCCCAGCAAGAGCCACACTGACCCTGAAGCAAGAAGTGAAATCACAAGTTACAACTAACTTTGACAGATTAAGCAATTACAGTTCCCATGCCACCAATCTAAACTTGAAAAAGGCAAAAACCACAAGTCCAACTTTTGTTCCAAGCTCCCCCAGTGTTCAGGAAACAACACTACATTTCAGTTCTTAGACATTTAGTACAGGACATCTAAACAATTCTAATGGAGTACAGCAATTTTCCTGAGATGAAGCTCAATTCAGTGTGGTTGCACTAGACTTCACAAGTCAAAAGCATTTTTCCTGTAGGGAAATGAAGGCAGCACTCAGAAAACTGGTTAAAAATTGACCATCATAGAATACCTGGTCTTTAACTGGAGTTACATATCCTTTCTCTCTCCAGTCTACAGACCGTGGTGCTTCAAGGAAGTTGGGCTCAAGAAACTGGGATCCTCTGTACTTCCTTCCTGACTTCTTGTGTATATAGCCATTCATCAGCTGTCTGAACTCCTCAGTCGTCTGAAGAAAATTCAAAACAATGCAGTCACCACCCATTACGCACTGTTGTTTAGAAGTGGATGTTTCATATCTCAGTACATACCATGTCACCAAACTGATTCATCCCCAACTTGTAGCTGTGTTTTCCTAGTGAGTGATCCAGGTTATGGAGTTCAATCATTTTCAGATTCTTCTCCCACACCACTCTTCTCCAGCTTTCCTCTCTCTGAGGGACCAGAAAACAGTGTATTTTAAGGAGAGGGTTCACATAAAATTTTGGTGGAGTGATAGCGTTCTTTCCTATGGCTTGTGTACTCAAACAAACATTGACTCATCCAGCAAAGAGTTAGGATAGTGCTTCAGAGCTGGCCATCTCACCACCCCATGCTAAAAGCCAGCACAGTACCGCTGGGTGTTTATGTAAGCCAAGCAAAGGGACCTAGGGAGCGGGGGGATTATCTTTCACAAACGCAGACCGTGGCCAGCGTTAAATAAAGCAAAGCAGTCATGACTCAGCTGACAGGGCCCTGTGGAGCCACACGCCGCCCCGCCAGGCTCTCAGCTCAGGGCAGCCCTCACCTCACGGCAGTCCTCCCTCACCTCATGGTAGTCCTCACCTCATGGTAGTCCTTGCTGTGCCACGACTTCCACAGCTGCCAGTGGCCGTCCAGGTCGGGGTCTATCCTGGGCGCCGCGGAGGCCAGCCCCAGGCAGAGGGACAGCAGGGCGAGACCCACGTTCATGCTGGCAAACCTGCGGGGCGATGAGGCAACACGGCTCAGACGAAAAACAACGCGCACAGAGGAGCAAAACACAGCACGGCCCGGCCCTGCTCTGCCCTTCTTTTCCTTTTCCCTTCCTTTCTTTTCCCGTCCCTTCCCTGGGAGCCTGCGGAATGGCGGCTCCGTGCCGCGGGCCCGCCCCGCCGCGGGGCGGCCATGTGGGACCCCCCCCCCCCCCTCCCGCTGGCAGCGCCGCCTGCGGGGCTCCCCCCTCTCTTCTCCCTTCCCTTCCCTTCCCTTTCTCCCTCTGTCCCCGCTCACCTCGCTCGGTCCCGGCGCTGCCCTCCCCGGCTCCCGGCCCCGCGGCCCCTCTTATAGCCGCCGCCGTGGCCGTGCCCGCCCCGCCGCCACCATTGGAGGCCGGGCCGGGCAGCTCCGCACCGCCCGCAGGGGCCGAGCCGGGGCTGTGTGGGGGGAGCTGCGGGTGGGAGCAGGGCGAGACCCCCCGGGTCCGTGCCCTGGGGGCTCAGATCAGGGCTGCCTGAGGCAAAGCAGGCGGCTCGGCTTCGTCTGCTCGCCCTGTGCCCCCGGGAGGGTGAGCGAGCCTGCCCCGGGCTGAGGGTCGGGGCGGAGGTGAGGTATTGAGTCCATTGCACATGGACATAGGGCACATCAGATCGGATCAGGAGGAGACAGGCTTTATTTTCAACAGGGTGCTTGCCACGAGGAGCAGAGTGTAGCAGGTTCCCCCCCGTACCAGGTTCCCCCCATAAGCTCTGGTAAAGCCAGCATTTCGGGGTGCTTTCGCTTGCACACTGAAGAGTGAAAAAGCCAGGGTTTGTAAGCTGTTGCACAACGGCAACAGGACAGAAATCACATGATGCCTGCTTCTCCCTTTTTTTTGATGTCTTGAGACACAAACTGTGTCATAACACATTAAGAAAAGCAATACGTGTTTCCTTGCACAGATTATCGCAGGAGCAGGGTGGCCTGGAGAAGCCCCACAGAGCCCAATTCACACTGGGAAGCCGGAGAGGCTGGCTCTTCAGTGTCCCCGTGCAAGTCTCCTGTCGCTGAACTGGTGTACTGATTCCACAAAAAACGTGAAGTGTAAATACACCTAAAAATGGTGCTCCTTAATGAGTCAGCAATCATGCGCCAGCCTTGCAAAACCTTGGAGAAAACAAGGTATTTTAAAGCCCAGCTGTTTGCTGAAGCCAAAGCTTGTGTACAAACACTCAGGACTGGCCTAGCAGTATGGTTTACCCGCATACAGCCATGTCAGTCTGAGCAGGAAAACGAGACATTGTATAAAAGAAATGTTGAAAACACTTCATCAGAATTGGACTGCAGCAAATGCATGCTGGAGGCATTACAATTTTTAGTAATTACCTACTTATCGTTTTTAATAGTTGCTTTGCAAAGGTGTGTTATTGTATTTCTAGTGGTCTTTATGGCTAAAATTTCTAAAAGCTCCTATTTTGCTTTCAATTATTATGGTTTGTTACAGCTACTGGCTGACTGACTATACAACCACCGTAGAAACATTTTTTAAAGCAACAAAAAAAAGTGTGACACAAGCTGCAAGTCAACAGTGCACATTTGCACAAGATAAAGTGCATAAGGATCTGACAAAAATAAGCCACATGTACTTATGCTTTTTATTGAAAAAAACATACACGTTTCTACATGGCAAACAACAGTTTCAAGACCAGCCTTTTCAAAGGAAAATGATTAATTTCCTTACTTGTAAAGGAAAATTAAAATGCATACATTGAATAAGAATAGTCATTTGTTTCTTTCCAACATGAAACTTTTCACTACCTAACAAACTCACATGAAAATACTTCATGACAGTAGAATGATTTTCATAGTTTGACTAACGTATAGATAGGGTTTGAGGGTGGGTGGGATTTGAGTTGTGGGATTTGAAATGTTTTTATTCACAGCTTTGTACAGATATTTTCTGTGCAGTGGAACTTCAGTCCTGTTTATGCTAGCTTTGTTTCTGCAGCTGTATCTGATACCAACTGAGCATTGAAAGGCTACTATTAAGTTCCCAGTGAACTGTGGACAAGGACTGCTTTTTTAAAAGGGCAAGAAGTCTAGCTGGCATGACAGAAGGTAAGGTCAAAATTACAGAAAGTCTTGCACCATGAATCACATGTCTGCTGCTCTGTAACGCACACTGGGATACACCAAGAGAAACCAGTGCTTTTGCAAATGATAAGAGGTCCTGTCGCTTTGGGAAGTTACCATGCCATCAGCTAGCATGAGATCCCACAGCGTACGTGCTGTACTCTGCTGCCTGTCCTTGTGAATACTCTCTGTGCATGTACACACACACACACACACACACACAGACACACACACAAATGCCTGATACCATTTTCTCTTTGGAGATAAGTTCACACACTGAGCTTATTTAGCTACCTTATAGAGGGAAATATCAACAGAGAATTTCTTGAAATTCTTGAAGGTAACAGGAATACTTTCACCTTCAGTGCGTGAAATTTCAGCTTGCTCTGAGTCGTTACTATTGTGTGGACATATCAGTTCCCCAGGTATTTTCATAGGACTTCCAGCTACTTTCCCTATGTTTTTCTTTGCCATTTCCTCAACAGACAAACTCTTTATCTGTGTGTATGATTTCTGCTCCTCCCCAATCTATTCTTACTTTAATTATTGTACATTGGTGAAGATTCTGCCTCTGTACCATCAGTACTCCCCAGGCCATCTTACCTAAACTATTTATTCAACCCAGCAGCACACTTACTCATCGTGGCTACTCATTAGATGAATCTTGAGGTACCAAATCTCTCTGACCCCTGCTGCGTAGCAAAGATCCAGGAAGCCTGGGAGCCCAGGTACAGAAGCATAAGCATTTGTAGGGGAAATCAGCATGGCAACAATTGTGATCACCCACAACCGGGCCATCACAAGAGTGACATTCAGAAACTTGTGATGGGAAGCTGGCCTTGGACCGTCTCCAACTCCTGTGCAAACAACTGCTGTCTGAGAGTTGTCCTCAATGTGAGGACCGACTGCTGCACTAGCCACACTGCGGAGACTGCTGACAACCTAAATGAAAGTAAAAATGCCGTATTATACAGTTAATACATGGTCTTACTGCCAGCACTGCTTGCTACTAGGCAGTAGAAGGTGCTGTCCCAATGCTGTACCTCTGCTCTTTTCTGTACACCACGATCTGTTCACATACCAAATGGCATCATTGTGGTGTTCTGGTGAAGTGACCAGAGGTCCACTGGCAGCGTTCAGAGGCAGAAATCATTTCCATCAAACTCTGCTACTTCCTGACACCCTGCTGCAGTCACACCAGCCACAGCAGTCTTTGCTCTATTGAAAACACCTCTGTGGGGACTACTAACCATGTGAGGGTCTTGTGTGCAAAGCACTCCTCTCAGGTTGGCAGAGAGAAGGGCCGAATGTGGGACTTCCTTCAGTTCATCTCTGTAAAGCCTGCAGGAAAGCCGTGCCATTCTGGTCTATAAATATCCGTGCTAATTGCAGTAGTCACACTGCTTTCCACAATAACCTAACTATCAAAACTTTAAAGGAAGAAGACCCTTGTCCATTAATTTAAACCTCTCCTTTCTGGAAGGTAACTTTCCAAATTACTCTGAAAATAACAGCTTTTGAGGAACTCTGTATATGCAAAACTTCAAAGACCTGCCACTCTTCTGAGAGGCAAGAATAACACTTTTTGATAACTGGTCATGCTTGCATTGTGACAGCCTCAGAATTGCCACCCACCCTGTAGCTATCTGGCTCCATCAGTTATCAGGTGACAGAGGCTATGTATATCTTAATGGACACGAGAACTTGCATAGTGGGCTGTTACCTCTGCAGTTGGAAGGGTGGACGGAGCACTGATCTCTGGGGAAACATCAACATGAAACTCAGCTGCCCCTGCACATCCCTGGTGTGCAGCACCACCCTCTCCCTCTAGAGAGACTCAGGTTATTTGAACTCAGAATTTCTGAAAATTGTTCTGCGCTTTTAAGCCCCTTCTCATCTTCATTTTCTTGGTCCAAATGTGAAGAGGTGTGGGCCAACCTGTATCTGCCAGGAAAAAAAAGATCCAGACATCCAAAAAGAAAAAACTCCTTGGTAATGGTAGCTGGTTTGCACAGCTGCAGCAGGTTGACAATGTGTCAAAAACATTTGTGCGATGCAAATATAATAAGCTATGTTGTGCTTAAATGTGGCAAGCGTGTGCACTCAAGCAACTCCGTGGAGCAGCTATCTCAAAGTGCACCATGATCCTTCCTGAAGTAAGAAAATGAGTGGGTTGTTTGGATGTCATTTATCCAAACTGCAAAGAAAGGACATTTAATTTAGACAAACATTGATTTTTTAAGTTTTTTTTTTTTTGCGTGTGTGTTAATATGAAGACTAGATTTGGATCTTTATTCCTGGAATACATAAAGCTGAATTGGCTTACTTAAAAAGCTATGACCGTGAACATGTTTATTTATACCAGGTTAAGTCCCTCTGGCAAATGCAAATTATTGCGTTTCACTGCTAGCATTCACTGTCCAACTTCTGTTAGATCATACCAAGAATGGGGTACCTAACCATTTTCTAGTCACATATATACTTCTGCTCAACAAAATATTGATCCAGTTTAAAGAAACACAAGAACATTTCAAAGAACACTGCACTGATTTTAAATGCCAGTGGCTGGTTTATGTGTAAGAAATGCCAGAGATGCATTTGTGTGAAACAAAACAAAACATCAAACATCAAAAAAAAAAAAAAAGTTCAAATTTCTTTTCAGCAACATAATCAAGTTTTGCTTGCATTTTACAGTAAAGACTCTTCTTGCAGAAAACGAGTACAGTAAATTTCCAACACCAAAGCGATTGTTTCAGAAAGTTAGGAGGCTGTCAAAAGACTATTGTGGAACAGATATTTCTGTGCCATCTAAAGAATTGCTTCAGACTTCAGCATGCATTTTTAATGCTAGGTTTAGAAATTGCAGGTTGGTGGTGTTTTGTTTGTTTGTTTTTACCTCATTTGATTTGGACGTGACTGGACTGCTAAAAAGACTACCAAAAAAGCCTGGATAGTTTCTCTTCTTCCTTGCAGCTCCATGAAGATTAGCCAACCTTTCTCCCTCGCAAGGGCATTCCTCAACAAAGATCTGAGGTCGCTTTGGAGCTTATAATGACCCTTTGGCATTAAATGCGCTAGTAAGCACTCACTTAATCTTTGTTTTGGGTTACTTACTCCCAGGTAAGAAATCAGAATCAAGCTGTGCTTCAGCCGGAGCACCCATAATGAAGTTAGTTGCATCATTATTAGGTTAGACAAGGAAGCAGCGCCTACTTCCAGGCAACACAGACAGGGTTCTGCCAGCTTTCTGACGACCTCGGCGATGGCTGGGGAGCAGCGACACAGTCCTCCTAAAACACCTTTTTGTTTTCAGCGGTCTTGTGATCTCGCAAGAGCCATCATTTCCTCACCCCAGCGGCAGATAAGAAACTGCATTCCAGCTTCCCCGCTGGCCCACAAGGCAAAGGCGGCTTCATTTACATCTCAATATCTCACCTGGTCACAGGAACTGGGGGCTGATGCAAGGGATTGCTTGCCTTGCAAGAAGGACGGGAGACGAGGGGGAAGGGGAAAAGGGGGGTGTCTATTTTGGCCAGTTCTTCAGGGCTGGGGTTTCTCAAAAGTAGTATTATTTTCCTGCGAGGTTTTCTGCTGAAATTTTCTGTTATATTTGTATGAGTGGAAAAGAAAAAAAAAAAAGGTTTTGGTTTCTTTTTTTTTTTTTTTTCTACCTTAACTTGTATTTTTTTTAGAGAGCCTAAATTCTGAATCATACGTGAAGGCAGCTCTGAGTCTTTGACCATGGTGTAACTCATGCACTTTAAAGTGCAAACGTCAGTGAGACTGATTCCTCAGCCTGCACTCAACATCTTCTCTCAATTTCTGGCAGATAGTCATTTCTGAGCTTTGGGAGGTTTATGATTCTAAAAGCTAGCTGGGGGAAATAGTAGGAGGATGTGAGGAAGTATCGTATTAAATTGCTGATGTTGAACTTCACAGACAGAAAATAATTTCCATGTTGTATTGACGTTTCTCTAAAATGTAAAGGACTTTGGTGTTCTTTCTGTCTTGTACTATAAAGAATATCTTTTCAAATTTCACACAAGTGCAAGACTTTCTTATTTTTTTTATTATTACTATTATTATTATTTTTTATTATTATTGTAACAGTCTGGAAGTTTCAAATCCAGTCTGTGTTGTTAATTTCCTTTGACCAAGGCCAATTTTTTACTCCCATCTCTACTCTGGAGATCACAGTGAGGGGCATTTTAACAGAATTGCAGGAGGGCTTTGGGGAGTATTTCATATACTGCTTGCTATCTGAAATCACATTTGAATTTAAACAAAAAGAGAGCCAATGTTTCTGTTTTGAAACGGAAGCAGCGATAAAGTTCAGAGAAGTATAAATCTTTAAGTGCTTGAGTGCAAAGTTTGTGCTTCAGCAAGCTGTTGCAAACAGTTGCAGGGCATGAAAGAAAATCTGTTTGTCTGTCTCCTGTTGTTCTTGGAGCAGTGGTGTCTAAAGGGCAAGCTGACATGCTGGAAAGCATTTCCCATGATAAGGATAGAGACTGTGAGTGATGTGAGGAATTATTTTTAAACTTAGAAGTTACAGGCTGGATTTCATTAACAGATCATGTGAGGGAAGGTTAAACAAAACCTGCTTACAGAAGAGGAGAGAGGCAACTGAAACAATCAAATGCTGGCTTAAAGTTTGTTTTCCTCACAATCAGGTAAGAGGAAAAAGAAATGCATGCATGTGCTTTTTGGGTAAGAACAGAGGTGACTCACAAATGTTGTTATTTCCCCGTTACAAATGGGAGGACTGAGGCAAAACCAAGCGGTGCCTCTCTGTTGCAGCCAGAGTAATCAAATGAATGACCCATGGATAGTTCACCGTAGGCTTTTCAGTACGGGGTTTTGCCAAGGTGATCAATAATATTTTCCCTCTTCTGGTAATAAAAATAGATGCACAGACTAGCTCATTTAGGGATTGCAAACATGCAGTATAAATCAGTGCAACATGCATTGCCTTGCCTGACACTGAGGTTCAGTTGAAGCAAGCTCAGCCCATTGAACACCAGGATGCTGATAATTGCTGTCAAATTTACACAGTCATTTCAAATATTTTAATCACTGCTTTTGTAATCACTCTTTAATCACTGTGCCAGATGTCTTTTGTAGGACTATACGAGGTCTTTTGTAGGACCTTTCTGGTCACCAAGTACCTGCTGGATTAGAATCTCCTCACTATCAGTTCAGCAGAATCTCTTCTGACCTCTCCCTCTTTGATCATTCTCAACCAGCGGCGCATCCTAAATGTACACCCTGAAGCTTCAGCACAGCACTGCCGAAGGAGAAGGACTTCTGCACTGGTTCCTCATGGAGCTCTGGAAGTGAGCGAGCTCAGGGGGACACTCACCTGGATGCGAGATGAAGCTGAAAGGGTTTTACAATAGTTTAGTTAGTGGCCAGCATGAAACAAGATTTTTTACAAAGCTATTCCACATTACAGTAATATCTTGATGACTCCGTGCAAGGCCGTAGCATGGCCTCTGCAGAGCTGCGAGCTGAATGCTGCTCCTCTGACTCGTCTCATAAGCAGCTATTAGTTTGTGCAATTTCCTCTTGCTCCATATGGGAACATCCACGGGGATTTTACTAGACATTACCCTCAGGCTTGCAGAAAAGCACAGTGAATGGCTGACATAGTATTCATACAATCACATCTCGTCCCTGTCACCATTGTCTTCCTCTTCTCTCAAAGGAGGTGGTTCCCTGGTTTGTGGTCACGCAATGCTAGAAAAGTGGGCTGCCACGGGGTGTTTGCTGTGATGCCTTTGGCCACATACATCTGTGCTGTACTGTTACCCAGCTGCCTAAAACCTGATCTTGCTCAAATCTGCATTTCACCATTCGCGTGCCGGTGTCTTTTACTAGCGGGTCTCTCCCTCCACAGGCGGTATAGCTGGAAGTCAGGGACTTGGGTATCAGCCAAGTAGGCTGTTTTACACACTGGCTTGCAGCAAACTCATTACCCACAATACCCATGATTTGATGCAAAAACCTGACCTTTGCCCATGGCTGGTAAGAGGGTTTGTCCCGATGCCACGTGCCCAGGGTGGGTCCTGCCCCCTGCCCCTGACAGCAGTCCCCCATTAGCATGCCGTGCAGACAGCTGAGCACACACTGCAATCCAAACACAGCGCCGGCCCTTTCCTCTCCCCTGGTTAATTTTGTTAAGGATTTTGTGTTTGACTAAATAATTGACTGTTCAAAACACAGGCTGTGTGTAAGGAACACCGGTCGGGGCTCCTCCCTTTGGCCAGCCTCGCTGCGGGGGCACCAGAGCCACCGTGTGACACATGTCCCCTCCATGCTGAGGGAATTAGTTCTCCTGGCTGCTCCACCACCACCTCTCTGCTCACAGGCTTCCTCTGCCACAGATTGTCGTGGAATTGTCCACAGGCCCTTAGCCCTGGCACTCACGTCCTGATCCCAGTGCTCTCACAGCCTGGCTGAAAAACATTAACCCCAAACGCCTGCATGGAGACAGACAGCAAGGATGGAATGAAAGAACAAAAGGACAGTTCAAAATATTCAGCACACTGTACAACATATTCAGTCCAGAATTTACCTATAAAGTCTTATTTTGTGACTACTTTTATTATATGTACTGTGGTAAATATTAATGCTAAACTAGATTATTATTATTATTATTATTATTATTATTATTATTATTATTATTATTATTATTATTATTATTATTATCATTATTATTATTATTATTATTATTATTCCCTAGCAAGAAGAGTGTTTCTGTAATTATTTTTTTTGTGTGTTTTTGGCACAAAAATGTATCCTTATACATAGCAAAGAACATGTTGTTTTGCATATTGTTCAATGCACTGAATTTGTAACATCCTAAAACCATTCACAGAATATACATGAAAATTATGAAAAACAAAGGTAAACGATTAATGTAAGAGCGCACTTTAGTAACATTCTGCATTTAGTTTACTAATGATAATTTAAACTAAAATGGTCCTCCGCAACAGCATTGAAATTTTCTCCCCTCAAAACAGTCATTGAAACTAAACCTACTGGGTGCTCTGATCAAGTACCAGGGTTAGAATTGTTTGATCTGACTAGAAAGATTTCTCATTCCACACTTTTTTTTTCCTTCCCCTCCTTTACTGCTCAAGCAGGGGTGGCAAAATCGGGCTGAGCCTGGCCCATTCTTCCTCCTGGGTCTGGCTACATTCGACAGCTGCAGGTGAAGCACTGCCTGGCACCCAACAGTCACACCTTCAACACCACACCAGCTTATAAAAACCTACCAGACAAAGCCTGGCCAGCACAGACTGTTGTTACAGAGCAGCTGAGGCAGCTCATCCCAGGCGAATGGCTAGCTGTCTGCGCCTGTTTGCCAGTTTGCGGGAGAGGGCAGGCCCGTGTGCCCAGGCTGCAGCCGGCCCTTATGTCCTTCTGCCCCACGAGAAGCCGGCGTCCTTGGCTTCTTCTGCCAAGTGGCTTCACCTCCTCTGTCCGTGACTTCACCTCGAGTGGCAGAGGTGGTGTACTGACTGCTCCTTGGGCTGCGGTGGGTACATGAAGACGAGCAAAGGCAGCGTTGCCAAAATCGGGTGATAGCTGGCAGAAGCAGTGTATGAGGGGTTTCTTAACATGGCCCTGGCTTTTTGTCTTCCACCCATCAGGCCGATGCAGATTCTTTATGTTACTCCCTTATGCCTCAACATCTACAAAGCAAAAATGAGCAGGAATAAGCTTTTCCTCCCTCCTGCCCCCAGCCCTTATCAGCATGGCCACTCACTGTGAAGCTGGGTTTCACAGAGCACGGGCCCAGCCTTATCACCATCCTTTGAGAGAAGCAGAGGGTAACAGCCACCCTAGATACTGTGTTAACGCACACATTGTATGTTTGCAGCTCAGCCTTGATTGAAGACAATCAGAACAAAATAAGAAAGAGACAATAAAATACCTCACTGTGATGATATCATGCCTAAATATTTTGCGTTGATTGAATGCTTTCATTTCCTGTGAGTGTTAACTTATGATTCTTTGTTAATTAAGTAGGGAGAAGGGGATCAATCCTGAAAATAATTTGGTACTGCTCTCTCTGTAAGATCTCCACACAACTATTAAGATGCCTTCCTACAAATTTTCCTACCTAAAGCCTCACTGCAGAGTCAGAGACAAATTGCTGGGGCTGATGAACCAGCATACATGACACTGCAGGGCTGCCTAAACTTTGGGGATGAAAATGAAAGCCAAATATTAAGCTGATTTTTATTTTTTTTAAGGTAAAATGTTAATACTGTCTTTGAAGAAAGTCTGGAACCATTTGTTTCATGCAAAACACTGGAAAGATAAGAAGAATTCCTTAGCTCAGTTCAGAATTCGTCAACCCAGACGTAATTCTGCATCCTGAATTGAGTAAGAATTGGAGGAGGAAACAGCAGAAAGGAAATATCCAGGTCTGCTGAGACCTTTGCTGAGCTGCTGCTGTTCTCCTCCTCAAGCAGAGAAGCTGTGGAGGATGCTGGCTGCGTGTTCTCCCATACTATCCCAGCAAAGGGATGTTCATATCAACCCATGCGCAGGATGCAGTGCTCTTTTTTCTGGTAAGACTCTACAGATAGAGGGACGTGGGTGACTCTTTATAAATACTTAACAGGTAGGATATATAATAAAAGCACAGTTTTGTCCTCAAGTCCCTGGACAACCTTCTCGTCACCTTCAGTTGTGCACTTGCAGTCACATACCTGCATAACTAGCTTGCTTTCCTGCTGCTTTCCCCGTTTCAGTTGTTCCTCCCTCCCACCTGGTCTGGGAACAACCAGGGTTACCTCACCTTACTCAAACAGTCTTGAAGTTACTAACCCAACTGTTTTTCTCACTAAGTTGAGAAAGGGCATACCACAATGCAGGGGCTTCTTATAAATAGAGGGTGTGAGCAGAAATTCAGCATAACCAGCTTTTTCCATTTTCCTGTTTTGGAAGGACAAAAGAATACTCAGTTTCATGTGAATCATAGTGAAGTGCACAACACCTTAATCCTGCATCTTTACGTAGGCTGAGCTCAAAGAACGTCAGAAAGAGTTTCATAGGTAGTCAACGCAAAATAAACCAAATAAACCACGAGACTCACACTTGTCCTGCTTGTGCTCGATCATCAGTATATTCTGTTGTTTTTAACCCTGTTCTCCTAAGAACATGAGAGACCTAGGGGATCTCGTCAGCCGTGTGTTGGTTTCCCTCCTCCTGCATCTGCTGAGCACATTGGCTGCTGTGAATCAGCTGTGAAAGGGAGCAGAAATCTCCAACTTGTCCCAAGGGTGAGAAGAAAACCAAAAGAGCGCCTTTGCTGAGGGAACGCCAGGCACTGTGCAGCTGTCACTAGACAGTGCTCGGCAGCTGCCAGTGCTCACTGACACGGCACATACGGCTCCTGCAACACAGCTTCTCCTCGCCCAGTGCAACTGGAAAGGGCTACAGAGAGGAAAGGATTGCAGTGTCATTGGGATGAACAGGAGACAGAAGAGAGAACCAAAGATACGGAATCACTTTTTTTCTTCCATCCATGTTGCTCAGCGGTCTCCGCAGCGGGTTTTCCCATTTACTTGCACAAGGTCTTATAGCTGCCTCTTTACCACTACTGCAGACAGACAGACTCCTGAAAAAAATGAGTCATAACTATGAAGAGCAAGAGGGAGCATATGACTACCTGAACTCCTTCTGTAAAGAAACTGGAGTCCATCGGAGCAAAAGAGCAATGCCGTATCGATGGCTCGGAACACCAAGCCTTTGCAGTGCAAGCAGGTAGTCTGCAGACAAAGGAGGAGGGGAAAGCAGTCTGAGTTTTGCTTTTGTGTTTGGCTGATTTTGATTATGTGAAGTCTGCTGGGGTATGTGAAATCACTGTACAGATTGAGCTCTCTGTGACTGCCAAGTATGATGTGTCAATGTACTTATCAGTAGCAGAAACCAATAATGATAATGATATCAATGATTTTTTTTTTTTTTTTTTAACCAAACATCTTAGAAAAGCAGTTAGACTGAAGTAGTCAGCACTAAAGACCATCATATTGGATGAAGAATCCATTACTTAATAAAAGTTTTAAAAATAGGGCACTTTCCTGTTTCTATAGATGGCACTTCTAAAACACTTGGCAGGAACCTCCAGCCATCCCAGCTCTGAAGGCAGTGAAAACCGTGCCCTGTAAGGTTATCCACAGAGGTGATTTCCTATAATTCTGCAAACTCATTCACATGAATAAACTATATTCAAGCCTTTAAATGTTTGCAAGGTCAAGCACTAAACACCTAAGCTATCTGCTTCAGTGGGATGGAGGAATTAGTCCTTTCTAGTCAGGAAATAGCTGATAACACTAAGTCTTTTATCCACTTATAATGCAGCGTCTCAATATTTTTCAGCACTGCTGCACTAAATTTTGTGAAAACTATAAAATAAAAAAATGATTACAGCCAGGTTAAGGGTACACATATGCAGTCCTACTGAAGAAAATGTGTTTTCTTCACAGTATATAAAGTAAGACAGTATTTATCAGAGGTCTAAAGGGAGAGTAACCTGACATTTCTGTTGTGGAAACAGCTAGCAAGATAAATTAACAACTTTCTAAGAGTTGTGTAAGTACATTGTATGCTATGGAGGCCCAGTGGGATTGCTGAGAAGAAATTTTTGCCCTAACACAAAGCTGCCATTAAGCTCATGCAGCCATTTTTGCAGGTGCTATGCTCCTTGCAGAGTATGAGGATCATTACATTTTGTATGAGCCTGCACAGGTGTTGCAGCAATATTTCATAGTTATATACAACCTCTGTCCAAGGAGCGCAAGCTGAAGGCTTGAATAAAGTGAATTGGTGGTGGTGGTGCTGCTGCTCTTTCTGCACGACTTGTTTCATGCTGGGGGCGTGCTTTTCATACTTTTCCAGACCCTTTTTTTTTTTTTTTTTTTTTTTTCTCAGAGGTTATTAACACACACATGGGGAAGAGAAGGCTCTGAGGATCATTAGCTGAGCATTTTCTTTAGGCAGAGGTGATGAGGTAATGCCAGCCACAGATGAGTTAAGTGGTTGCTCACTTGTACATGGAAACTAGAAGGCTGAGGGCAGGGGATCAATACTTCTGTTTTACATAGCCCTTGTTATGGCCTTTTTTTACTTGTCTTTAAGCCTTGCCTTACATGCTTTCTTCTCTTACAGCCTCTGTAAAGTTTTCTGTGGTCACTTGAAGAACTTAATTTCTTCTGAGCTTCCTCAGGCTGGAATAATTTTATTTATTTATTTATTTATTTATTTATTTATTTATTTATTTATTTATTTATTCCTCTTTGACTAAGTAAGTCATCCCCAGTGCTGTAAACGTTCCTTCCATCTTTTGCTATCCTCTTCCTCAGGTTGTTTCTCCTGTTAGAAAAGCTCAGCTCTCTATCTGTGTGGAGAAGGTAACAGGAAGGACAGCGTAAGCCAGGAGATGGTGGGCAGGACAGCTTCAGCCAGAGAGCTGGACAAAGAAAGACAGCGTGTTTTCTCTTTGAAAGACAAAACAGCTTCGAGGCTCTGCTTGCAGAAATGGCAGGTGCTTAGAGACACTCTTGTCCAGCCAAGCATTTACAGAGATGTGTGAGCACGTTGAGTAGGGCCCTGCTAGTGTGGTGACTTCAGATGGTCGTGTCCACACATGACATGTTCAGCTTGCAGCTATAGCAGTCAAATGTTTTGCCAGTAGCTTGGGTCGGCATAGTCCTATTTTCCCATTAAATAGGTCACAACATAGTTTTTTGGTTTGTGCTCCTGTTTACCACATTCTTACCCTGGCTGACAGATAGCCTGAAGGCACGATGTTGCAAACGGGCAGTGGGGTGGACACAGGCCCTCTGATGACAGATATTTCCCTCTTGCTCTGGGGTGGCCACAGTGAAGTTTTAAGAAATATTTCCCTCTTGCTCTGGCACAGAGGTGCTGCAACAATGCCCTCTGTCCTTCCACGGTGGACAGAAGGTGGGAGGAGAGGGGCCAGGGCACGCTGTGCCCTGCGGTGTGGTGACTGCAGTGCTGTGCCCCAAGGAAGAGGCTGCAGCCCCTGCAGGGGTGCGCTCCACACCTCTGGAGGCCTCCCCTTGTTTTGCCAGGAAGCATACCGGCCGCACAGGAAATCGGGTGTAATAGATATGTGGTTGTGTTGCGAAAAAACAAGACCACATGAAATCACCACGTTTGTTTATCCTCCAAAATGGTCAGGAGAGAGGCCCCTCGACCTTTTCCAGAGGTGAATTGAACAGACTGTGCGTCCACGGGTGACAGGGGCCAAAGGAGAGACTGTCCCTCTCACCTCCCAAAGGCAGGTGTGCTGATCGGAGCTGAGGAAGGGCCGTAAAGCAGCCAAACAAAGGAGGAGTGTTGCAACACCCATTTTGAAATGAACCTGTTTGTGACGAGCGGTGACTCTGGCAATATGTATGCAATGATTCATACCAAAGTGCAGCACCTGCAGTTTTAGTCCGGATGACTTTTAGGACAGAAGCAGCAGCAAATGCACTTCTAATGTTTCGGGAACAAGAAGATGAGCATCGGGGTGGCCCCGGGTCTGCTGTTAACTTACTGCGGGGCACGTGAGTGGCGGCAGGGCCATCCCTCCATGGCAAGGTGCAGCTGCCTCGTGACCGGTGACAAAGAGGGGTCCACGAGGCTGTCTCTCTCTCAGTATCTCCTCTCTCTTTCATGTGGTAATTGCAATTGCAAGGGACTCCTACCTGGCATGCATTAGACCACGTGAGGGCTCTTGGATATTGCCCTCAGAGAGTCCCTTGCACCACCTCCTGCTTCCCCAGGGTGACAAGGCATTTCTTATCTCTGTCTGTGCTGGGACAGCGTCTGCTGCTGTCTGAGGGCCCTGGGCACTCGTCGGCAGCCTCCTGACAGCAGTCTGTGCTGGCAGACGCACACATTATTCCCTCAGTGCAGCTGATAAGC